TTTTCACATCCTTCTTTAACAAAATCCACGGTAGCTTCGTAAATGTTTGGCGATTCTGCCGTCAGTGTCACGCGTGAATGGCATAGACGACATGGCATTGGTTTTGATATAGATACTCGATGATTTTTCTTATCCTCATTTATATATAATGCGTCATCTGTTCCTAAATTGAGCATTTTGTTCTGCACTTTGTAAAGACAAATGAGCGGCAACGCGTACGATAAAATATATAAATGTTACTCCTAACATAACAGCGAACACAAAACTATGGGCTTGCTGTTATTAACAGCACCATGCACCAATTCGCGGAAAAATATAAGTAACCATCCCTGGTAACAATAATCGGAAAACATTTTTTTTTTTTGATTAATTTGGTTAAACGGCTTTTAACAACTCTGCTGCCTTACGAGCCATTTGTGCATATTTAGTTTATGCTGACCAACTAGCAATGCGCTTAAAACTTTAAAAAATGAACGAATTTGTTTTGCTAAAGTTGATATGGTCTTTTTTAAGGAATTTAAAACAATATATGAATAGGGACACGCAGCCTTTTGACGCCTGCAATGTTTTGCTTGTGCACTGCTACGTATCATAGCGCCATGTCAGATGTTAAATATTCTGCAAAATGTTGCAAAAAAATTTCCGAACGCTTCGTAAATTATTTTCCTTAATTTCAACGCCTTGCAAAACTACTTCGAATAATCATTACTTATGAAAAACGATAGCTGACTGGACGCCGAAGTAGACGTATTCGTAATAAGAACATATTTCGAGGCTTCTCGATAATTGTTGGCCTATAGCTGCATTGGAAATGTAACAGTGTCATCTGAGTAAATTCATTGTGATGAGCGTTTTACAACTAAGAATTATCGGAAGCACATCGAAATTAAAAAAAAAACAAAGTAGTAGACTATCGATAGAAAGTAAAAACTAATATTGTCTATCTATATTTAAAATAATACTTTATTTCAATAATATTAGATTGACGATTATATATTCACATAAAATTCACATTAATTGCACTTTAAAAAATATAGCTTAAAGTGTTATTAAAGTTATTGTCAAACAATACTCTTAAATTAATGTGCCATTTGCTGCTTACGCACAAAAGGATCTACGAATTAATTGAGAAATTGCTAAATCTAAGATTCCAAATGTTACAGGCTAACTATGTTTTTTAAAATAAAGATATTTTTCCTGCCAATATCTAAAAATATCAATAGAAAATAGCTAAATTGGAAAAACTGGTTAGAAGAACACAAATTATCAAAAAAACATGTTTGTTGGTTTAAGGACTATGATTTGAACTGAGGGTTGATAACATCGCTTACATCGCTTACTTCAGAGTGCTATCGACTCTCGACTCATTTGGCACTGTTAACATAAAAAATATTTTTTTAAATATATTTTTTTAGCAATGGGGCCAAACGCTTGTCTTTGCTTGCTACCATAGCAGCAAAAGGCAAATTTGGATATTTTTTTTCTGAATTAATATGAACTTCTACTTCAAATCAAAATAAATGTTCGCACAACCGGTGATGGCAAAACTTCAATGTATCACAAAGTTTGTTGCAAAGACGATATAATTACTCAAGGTTACACAAGGATATTGTATTTTTTTTATGAATAAAAAGGAAAGGAGAAGAAGAAGAAGGCTTTATTTTGCAACGCATTGTCAATTGTTAGAATTTGGTAGAACTCATAAAATATTCTAGATTATGATCATTAGCAGCGACATTTTTAAAGTAATAATATTGTAACAAGTTATTTTTATCTACTGTTTGTAGTTTAAATTAATTTTTGTCTAATATACATACATAAATGTATGTATGCAGACATATGTACTCATACACGCATTTATATTTACGTACACTATTGAAAATTTAAGCATACTCCGGACATCATTTGTTAATCGTTTAGATATGTATACAGATAAATGTATGTATGTATTGTCTGTGTGTGTCTCTTACAAACTTGTTGCGGTTGTCGGTTTCAAACGTAGGACGAGGTCTTGCTTAGCTTATCTGTATGTGTTTGAAATAGGGTAATTTTTTTTTTTTGGATCTAGAGATGATTGCGTGAAATAACATAAGTATGTACTTATCATAGCACTTGTTGAATAAAATTTGTTAATGCTAAAATGAAATGGAATACATCAATTGGTAAAAATACAGAGAATAATAAACGATGCTTTATTAGTTAATTCGCTTCATGCGCATTTTTCACTGTCACGACTAGCATTCAAATTACACGAGTTGTATGCTTAGGCACGAGCAGGAAGGGCACGCACACCCCTCTAATTTTCACAATTGCGCGCGCACACATACATTAAAAAGAATTGTTGAGCATGCGAAAGCTCATTTAAGTCACCAGTCGCATTCTGGCATTTGTATAGCACGAGCGTTGGCGGGACGTTGTATTGGATAGCTATACGATCATGATTGTTCGGTCATATTAATAATTGCCTCCTACTTAACTTAATTACGAACAGTTTCCTTATTAACAATATTTGTCAAGGCTCGCGTGTTATGTTCACAAAGCTGTTTGTTTTTCAGTGGTAGTGCAACGGTTCAATTGCGATTTACGTCGATAGGAAAAATTCGAAAAGCAACGGTAAATGTTGTCGTTTGATAGCGGCATACGCATAACGCAAAAACAGTTCGAGCAAAAACGCAAGAGATGAATATTTGTAATTCACTTACTTCCCAGCCCCATAACTGAGTAAGTGGGTATACTAGGCCGGTTTGTTTGCATGCCACTTCTTTGTGCTCCTTATTCATCCTGTTGACATTTGTATATAAATGCCACCCATGGGCACATGCGTATGTATGTACATACATACATGTATGTATGTATGCATACGCGCATGTTAAAGAATTTTTCAAGTATCCTAGCCAAAGTATAGTTTTACTGCGCACTCAATTCGTTTCATTAAATATTCTCTAAGGTGTGGTTATGAGCTACCTTATAATATGCCTCCAACAAATATCCCTTCAAACTGCTTACGATTTGTTTTATGTACTTTTCAACAAATAACATGTTGCGCCTGATTATCTACTACTTTTACCTTCTGTTTTCAAAGTCTCGTTATGCCTCAACTCTACTTTGCCTAGTAAAGTATTATATAAATGAATATTCTTCGTTATTATTATTAAATAATTACATAACTATAAAAAGTAATTATATATATTGTAAGGTAAGATCAGCATGATTCAAGTCACGCGACAGCGTCTAATCTACCTTGTTCGTATTTGAATATGCAAAACACTGCCAAATAAGACATTCGATTTGAAATTGCCTGATTACCAGGCAGCTAAAATAAATCAATCTCGTCTGGCATTTCACTTAGATTTCCAGCTGGACCAGTTGGCAAAATTTTTACATTTACATTTGACTTTGTACTTAAAATCGCTAGAAAATATTAAACCAATTATTCTGTCAGCTGTAATAATTTGCATGTATGTACATATATATAATTTTACGCCTCTAAAGTCTCAAAATATACATATTTATGCATGTATATACATTTGTGGGAATCATGCCATAATCTTATCAGTGTTGTCTTTTTTCACTGAATGAAATCGTACGTGATTTAACCTGACTAAGTCTGTCTGTTTAACGACTCCTTGACGGGCTGTAGGATTCAACCAGAGACTTATAGGGAGGGATACGTATTGGTGCAGGAGCGCGGAATATATGCGATTCGGTGTACCAGCTCGTTTAAGAAGACTCAGATGTGGGATCCCTCACTGGCAAGCTTGTCAAGCTGCCCAGTTCTTTGATAAACTGTTTCCCTTAAAGCCAGGTTAGCTTGATAAGAACTGAAGTACAATCCCAGGGAACATTTTTTCTGTTTATCCTCTTCGATTTTGGGATTGACAAATGAAATTTGATGGCATAATAATAATACCTTAAATAAGGATTGATCTAGCCATATCTTTCTGCAAGTCCAATTTGCAATTTGACAAACAATTACCTTTGCTTTAGACCATTGATAACATTTCTCTTTTATCTGTTTCCTGTCTGTTTTTTAGCATATCTGGAGCCCCTTTTCTTTGGGCATAGAGAACAAGTTTTTAAATTTTTAATATTCAAGAGACTTAAATTGGCAGTCGAGCTCTAAAAGAGCTTGAATCTTATATTTTTACAGCACGCGCAAACCGCAAATCTAAAAAAAAATCGATACACACATTCAAATTTTACATTTATGCCTAGTAAATGTTCTAATGATAAGACAATAAAAATTAATACATATAAATAAATAAATAAAAATAAATAAGATTGTCAAGAAGGGACCTTCTTGGGTGTAGACCGCCGGTAAGAAAAAGACTAAACCGCTCTTCTGTACGTCTTTTTCTTCAGAGTACAAAATACGTGAACTTCTGTACGATTATGTGGAATATGCACACATACATAAAAATTAGTTGAGTTGTATTCCACGGTGATTTAGAGCTCGGTACAATATGTCTCCTAATCGGGCGCCTTCGAGTGGAGCCATCTTAGTTGTTGTTGTTCTGTTTGCAAAGAATCAGTATAATATCAAAGTTCAGTGCCTTTATTAAACAAAATATTGCGTTCGACTAAATTGGGAATTTTTGATAAGCGCCTTACCATTAGTAATTGTCGTTTTGCTGTTAAAGGCTTTACCTGATACGATAGGGCATTTAGTGTTGTGCGAGTCTCTGACCTTTGCGGACGTGCCTAAAGCAATTGCGCATGAAGAAACTCAACTAGAATTGTGAGTCAGAAACAAAGTAGTTTTGATTACTCAGAATATAATTAGGAAAATAAAAAAGAGTGGTTCGTCAAACTTAAAGCTTACAGAAGAAGTTGCTCCCTAACGTTTTTTGCTGCCAAGAGCAATATTGTACTTTAGCCAAGACCATAAAACGCCAGAAGGAAAGATGATATTATTAAATACTATGAGGAATATTTATAATATACGTGCAGGTACCTGTGTTGCCAGGCAGGCTCTTATCTGGAGAACTGTTTAAAATCGATTTAGCTGTGAAAGATATCACTTTATTTTCTCGTAAATGTACTGTATATAAATTACATATACATAATGTGGTTATCTAAAGCCTACAAATGGTATCAATTTGAAAAATGATACCTTCCATTGTAAATACAGAATTTCTACGCTACGAAATTGTTATTATTATTATAAATAGCTGCCCTTGATACAGAACAACAAATGAAAAATATTTTGAAAAAAAAAAAACATTTTAATGTGGGTTTACGATATGTACCCATATTTCGTCTACATATTCCCGGATTAGGCTAAAATATTGAATCTAAAAATAGTATACGATATACACTAGCTGGTTTTGCCCGGCCTTACCGTGCTTTTTTTCAAAAATTTAAAATACTACTTCTATTTAAAAATATGTCAAAAGTCCATCGAAAAAACAAGCATATCTTGGAATCAACAGTTTCCGCCCATGTTTGTCTTGTGGTGAAAATCTTGAAGCCATTCATAAAACCCTTGAGCCGCATTTTCATATCAAATGAATTCCCATAAAGATCTTTCCGCAGGTGGAAATTCCAAAACCTCTGAAAACGTATTCTTTTAATTTTTAGATAGGGCTATGAAAATAAGTTTAAAGCTGATCGTGCAAAACTTACAATTCCGACAAGATGGGCGGAATTCGCGAAAAGTATGAAACACGTATCAGTTGAATATTCACAAAGGTTCACTTTTATGCAAGCCTTTCTGCCAGTTTGCCACTGTTGCGAATTGAATTTCCAAAATCGCTGAAACACGTATTTTTGAAGTTCTTAAGTTAAGTTCTCTTTGCGCAAACATAATACTTTGCCCAAAATATTTTCTAATCGCCCTTCTACAGACAATGCTTGGATTCTGCAAAAATACTGAAACACGTCTCAAATGATTTTTCAAAAAATCTGTGGAAATGAATTTTAAATCAAAACATTATCCAGCAAATCTTTGACTCTTTGACCATTTATATCAGATAGCATTGCATTTTCTGAAAAAATGAATTTGACGAAAGTCTTTGAAAATGAGTTTAAGGGCTATCGGATCGGTAAATAAAACATACTTGCGGGTGGAATTTCCAATAATAATGAAATAACTGTATTAATATATATATATATTTGTATATATTGACTTAGTGCTCTTTGATTTTTGTTTCATTTTAGCTTCTTGTATTATTTATGCTCTATTCTATTAAAATTCCGCAGTACTAGATAAAACTGTTGTCATGGCGTGTACCTGTGAGGTAATCGGGCTCGCTTGCGTTGTCGCCCTAATTTTGAGCATTGCGGCCAAAGCACCTTACCAGATGAGGATGTTTATTGTGCTGTTTGGAGCCGGAGCAATTGTAACTCTGTGCATTCCTTTCATGATCCTGCGGCCGAGAGACTACAGAAACGGACTGTAAGTTAAGCACATGAGAACTTTGATTGAAGCTGATTTCGTTTTTAAAATTTTAAGTATACCATCCTGGTGCTTCGTGCAGCTGTGCCGGCTAATGGGTATAACCATGGAAGTGCGTGGTGTGGAGAACGTAAAAAAGGAGCACGGGAGTGTTGTGCTTATGAACCATCAAAGCGCCTTGGACTTGTGCGTGCTGGCTCATCTTTGGCCGGTGATTGGAAGGGCAACCGTGGTGGCCAAAAAGGAAATTCTTTACATGCCCTTCTTTGGCGTTGGCGCCTGGCTCTGGGGCACTTTGTATATTAACAGATCGCGGAAGAGCGATTCTATTAATTCCTTGCAAAAGGAGGCGATTGCTATACGGGAGCGCAACTGCAAGATATTAGTCTTTCCGGAGGGCACGCGCAATTCCAAGGAGACATTGCTGCCATTTAAAAAGGGCTCATTTCACATTGCGCTCCAAAGCAAGTGCACAATACAGCCGGTCGTCGTGTCGAAATACTCGTTTTTTGACGAGAAAAAGAAAAGCTTCCGGCCCGGACATGTTGTCATACAAATACTGCCTGAGATATCAACGGATGGGTATGAAAAGGAAAATATGGAGAAGCTTATCGAACATTGCCGCACGACCATGCAGCAGGAATACACGAGGATGAGTAAAGAGGCTCTATCTGTGAACTCAAAAAAACAGTTATGAAAAAGATATAGTAGTCTAAGCTCAGGTTACACACATTACCGGTATTTTAATTCGAAACAATATACTTAATATTCTAAATATCAAAGATGTGTAGATATGTAGCAGATTTCAATTAATGTTTAATGAATAAGTTTAATGAATAACATATGAATAACAATTTCATAATCTTTTGAATAATTTTTACTGTTAATGAATTTCCGTACGTAGTTATTCAATTTTTGCGGGTATTTTTTAAAACTGTTTTGGTGCCAACGCTATCCAACTCTTGTAAAAATGCTTATGTACATTAGCTATCAAAACAAATGATTAAAGCCCTTTAAAAAATAAAACAAAAGAATTTATTCACACATTTGCATGAGATATAAAATTACTAGATGACGATTTCTAGCTTTGAGAATCCTTATACGGAAAATAAACTTTCATACTGCCTTTGATCCGCATCGGTTGGTAAACTAACAACTTTATTAAAACCATGTTACGCAAATACGGCTGCGAGTGGAATTTCGAAAATCGCTGAAAAACGTTCAGATTAATATCGGAAAAATGTTTAAAGCCCATCGAGTGACACGAGAGCGTCGCGCAGAAAATCTATAATTTACAATGCATTATTATCATATGCTCTAATACCCAACAAAAGCTTGAAGTTGTTAAAATTGACAGTATGCACTTGATTATTTGATAGACGGCTCGCGAGGTTTAAAATAGCCGCCAATCCAAAAGAATAACCCTGTTTGATTGGAACAATCGATTGCATGTTCATAATACGATGAATATTCTAGTCGATTAGAATACTTATCGGAGTGTGAGCAAGAAATCGATTGTTCCAAGCAAACAGCTGAAAATGCAAAACATAGCAAAATAAAAACAAATAAATACGCTTAATATCGTCTTGAGCCTTAAAACTAAAATTTATTTGATTTACCTTTTCAAGGTCATCATGCTGAGATATATAGAATAGATTTTTTTGTTTTATCTGTGATTTTTGTAATAAGCAATGTGTAAAGCCTAAACTATTTATGGCAGAGATCTAAGCCATCGCCTGGCGATAATGGAATCCTTCAAAATTAAAATCGAGCTTGAAGATGATACTCAGACAGACCCGGCTATTCACGCTGAGGCCAGTGTCGAGCACAAACACGATCCCGGCTCAGAGGAAACACTGCAAATCGAGTTCAAGTCAGAAATCGACATTGAGCCTACGATTGTGGGAGAGCCTAAGAAGCTCTTCGAGATACAACGGCTGCGTGAATTTGGGGACGTGCCTTTTATTATAAAACGGATGGAGCCGCAGGATTTTTCCATTAGCTACCGCAAGGCTGTAAGTAGCGTTGAGACAATCTTGGAACGATTGCGACGCAACGGAGTGCCCAAGGGCACAGGAATTGCCTTTCGCATTGCCAATCACACACCCTCGTCATGCATATTGATACTCGCGTGAGTAGAAATCCGAATTGAACAGTCGTCATTATCCTATTTAACTAATATACAACATTTCAGTATACTGAATCACAAATGTCACTTCTATTGCAACGACAAAATGATGCTGTCGAAGGCTTTACATTGGCAGATGTGCCGTGCTGGCATTGATTACCTGATTGTCAATGGTCACATGCCTGTGGGTGCTGTTTACTTTGAGAACCTCGACAGCTTTCTGGTCTACAACGAAGAGTACAAACTGTTCAAGTTGAAGCATACCGCTAGTGATCCTTCGCCTGAGGCAAAGGGGACTCTGCCACCCAACATGTGCTACACAATTACGACTACTGGCACCACAGGAGCGCCAAAGTTAATACATGTTCCTTACGAATGCATAGCACCAAATATAGTGGGACTCAGGTGAGGTTTCGATTCTGGTTGACTGAATAATAAAAAATAAAATTACTTATTAGAGTTAGTTAAGAAAAAAAGAATTCTCTTCTTCGAAAAACACCCGGTTTTTAAATATTTTAATTATCTCTAGTTTAGTTTAATTAGGGCTGGCTTTAATATTTCTATTTTATTTTTAAATAGTCAAAAGCTCAACATTTCGATGGCTGACATTATTTACCTGGGTACGCCCTGCACCTTTGATCCATCTGTTGTGGAACTATTTTTGGCGATGCAGAATGGTGCCGCAGTGCTTATTACCCACTATTCTATGCGCGAGTCACCCAAACGCGTCTTGAGTGCCCTCTTTCCAACGAGTGTTACCACGCCCGGCATCACCGTATTACAAATGACACCATCACTTTTTCGACAGTTCGGTGCGAACGCAATACGCGAACGGATACTAAACAGTTCCAGTACACTGAGGTAGGTGCTGCTTCCACCCAATCGGAAGTATATTAAAGTGCTTTGTTATTTTAGAGTGTTACTACTAGGTGGTGAACCGTTCCCGTCCAGTTCCGAGCTGGCCACGTGGATGGAGCCACAGGTGCTTTTCCAAAAACAAATCTGTAACATCTATGGTATCACAGAGATTTCATGCTGGAGCATGATGCATGTTTTACAGTCTCTTCATTCGCGCGTCCATTTAGGAACGCCCATTGACGATCAGACTGTTTTGCGCATTGAGTTCCAGTCCAAACGAAACCTTCAAAACGTTGGCCGTGGTGAGCTTTGGTTAGGTAGTGCCACACGTCGCTGCTACATACCGGAGACTGATGATTTAGATAACGGCACGGACATAAATTCTTCTGTTCTTTATCGTGCCACCGGCGACTTTGTACGACGGTTTGAAGATGGCTCTTTAGCTTATGAAGAACGCGCCAATGATGTGGTTAAGCGTGCAGGTAACCGCATCAGCCTGGGTATGACGGACTTAAAAACTGAGATGTAAGGATTACTGATTACCCCCGTTACAGGACTCATCACGCGCAAAATAGAGAAATGCTTGCATAGCTGCGAACTGGCTACTTGTCTATGGCTGGAGGATCTACAAAAGCTAATTTGTTGCATTCGAAGTCTCGAGCCTAAGACAAAGGTACAGAGAAGGGCGCAGACCTTTGAAATACTAACCAAACTAATGGCTGCTGAGCAACCGGACAGATTCGTTTACTTGCAACACTTTCCCTGCAATGCACATGGCAAGCTGGACAAGACGCTTTTGCTTAAGGAGTGTACACTCCTAGCGCAGCCAGCCCAAGATATACTAAAAAGTTTTCTACACGATAGGCTCGAGTGCGTGGATGTGCAAAATGAGCGAACAGCAAAAAAACTTCGGCTAGATCAGACTGATTCGCTAACCAATCTTAGCGGTTATGACCTGAGTTTCCGACATGCTGGCGGAACATCTTTCCATGCCATAACGCTGTGTCGCGAAATTGGCTTGCAGATGTGCATTGACGACGAGCAGCGACACCTTTTTGAGTTACTGCTAGACGAAAAAGTGAGCTTACGCACCGTTTTGCTCTTCCTAGATAATGCCAAACTGGTAACCCAAAACACCAAACTTAAGCCTATCGAGCCACTTTTGAGCTCTACAGTCAGTGCAGCGGCGGGCAGCAGCACAAGCAGCGGCTTAATCATCACGCGCTTTGAAAAGCCTGCCATACACTTCCAGTTCTACTGGAAGGTAAATTTCAACAAGTGCATAGATTCGCCGGTTGCCCAATTCGACAGTCGGTATGTGTGCGTGGGCGCCCATTCGAAGTTATTGCGCACACTAGATACCCTGACGGGTCAAGAGCAAAGCACAATAAAGTTACCTGACCGCATCGAATGCAAAGTTACATTCCTTAGCGAGCAGCTCGCCATGGTGGGCTGCTACGACGGTTGCCTCTATGGGTTCAACCCGTTGACTGGCGCTATTTTATGGAATGTAGAAATTGGCGGGATGATTAAGGCTCAGCCTTTCCTGTCATCAGATGGATCCCGCATAGTCGTCTGCAGCTATGCAGAAGATTATAATGTCATGTGCCTGTCGACGGAACGGCAGCAAGTACTCTGGTGCATGCGCATAGGAAAAAAGGCTATCTTTGCTAGCCCACTGGAACTGGCCAAGGATCAAGCCGTAATTATATGTACGCTAGATGGTGGATATGCACGCGTCTCGCTATTGGATGGCTCGGTGCAGTGGATGCATAAATGTAAAGAACCCTTTTTCGCTTCTCCCGTCTTGCTGGACTCCAGTGCCACAATTTTTGTCTGTGCCGAAGTAGCCGGTCGTGTGCATGCTTGCGATGTAAATAGCGGACAAATTGTAAGCTCATGTTCCGGAAAAAATATATCATTTTCTATATTTCTACTTTGTATTTTTCAGTTGGCTACGCATGCGGCAGAGGGCAATATATTCTCTTCGCTGGTAGTCAAGGCTCCGCCCACTCACATGGGTTACACATTTGTGCTCTTTGGATGCATTGATCATCATGTGTACTGTTTGCGATGTAAGACAGGCACGGGTCAAAATACTTCGCTTGAGCTTCATTGGAAAGTGGATATTGGAGGCCCAGTCTATGCGACACCCATAATAATGACAGTAGAACCCAGCGATAATCTGGTATTTTGTTGCGCTACGGATGGCCGAATTGTGCTGTCCAATTTGGGCAATGGTCAGATACAATGGTCGGATAAGTTGACAGGTGAATTGTTTTCCACTCCGTGCTATGTTGAGAGCCTTAGACGCGTTTATGTTGGTTGTCGGGATAACTTTTTGTATTGTATGGGAATTTAGAATAAGAAGAAAAAGAATTTAGAATACAACGTTAATTACAGCAATACGCAAATTAGAATTCAATAAAATATATAAATTAATATACTATCTATAGTATGTATGTATATTTCTAGAATTCGTGATCAACAGTCATAATTTGTATTTTACCAAAATTACTGTGCAGAGGTACCATTGCAAAAACTGTTCCCCAATGTTAATATTTGTTCATGTGTGCGAAAGAATTGTTCAAGTGCCGATCCAGATGACATCGCTTCGTCAACATTTCGGCATTTACTGCAGCAACTGGTCCAGGACGCAGAGTGTAGAAGAACGTCTGCAATATTGTGTCCTTCTACTTCTTCCGATAAAGGCATGGTGTTCGCTTTAAGGTCAGGAGAATGCTTTTCACTCTTTGTGCCTTGCTCAGTGGATACTTGTGCTTCTTCTGCAATTCGATCAACGGCCTGACGCATGCGGTGTGTTAAACGGGGAGCCGTATACAGCGCGGTAAGGGGTCTCCCTGTCTTTGGTCTCTTCTTCTGCATTATCTTACACTTTCGATCCGTTCTCCTTTGAGCGGAACGTACCTGGCGTTTTTGCTTGCGTATGTCTTCTAAGTGTAGCATTGTTGGTGTTTTTTCTTGGTCGGCAAAGTACTTGGCCCACTTGGCTCGCTCCACTTTACAGTAATCATCTATTACTAACACATTTTTGCTCTCAGCAGATTCACCGATTTTTTCCTGTTTCAAAAGGATTTCAAAATCATCCCTGTACCATGAAAAATGATGAAAGCTTGGTTGTCTCCACTTTGTAGAATATTGCCACATCCTTTTCTGCCTCTTATGACGAGCTAATCGGCACATGATTTTATCAAAGTTGTGTTCAATTATGGCTAACATACCAGCATCTTGGTCTGAATCTTTATTATGTGACATTATTAGAACATTATAAAAGTGCGGATCACGTTCGTATTCTTTCAATATATCGTGGTCAGACGCATTTACTGGCAATTCTTCTGACATAATCAGTGAGTGTAATCTTCGTATCTTAGGGTTGTTACGTTGGCAACTTAGTTTTTTCCGCAGCGTGGTAAAGAACATTTTATGCATTCTTTGCAAAATCTCAGTTTTCTCCATACTCTTCCAGTCGGTTTTGACAGTAGAATTCCTCATACTAAATGTGCTTGCGCTTTTGCCGTGCAACCTTCTTTTTTTAATTTGGTGTAATTTACCAATTTGAGCTTGGAGTAGCAACTGCATTTTTGTTAGATAAAATTTTTTAAGGTCCTCTTTAATATCGGAAACCAGTTTATCCTTAGCCGCTGACAGCTGCTGGTTATGCTCACTAATCAAATCTTGCCAGACCTCGTCCACTTTCTCATCGTCCTTTTTTTCTTCATATAAATGAAGATGGAGGTCAAAGTTGCTTATGTATTTTGAACTTTTTTTTATCATAGCCCTCGGTGCACTTTTATAATCAAACAAGCTATTAATGATAGCGGCTGCTGTGTCTTGCATTGTATCCGCTTTTATTTCCTCTGAAACGACGGACATGCTCGGTGATTGCTTTTCCCATTCGTGATGTTTACGGAGTTTAAACATCGACTTAAAGTGGCTAGTTGCGGATCTTAATTTGATTTTGGAAGCTGAACTTATTTTATGCCTAAGTTGTTGTAAGCCCTTTAAATACAATTGACTTGTATCTGAAAATGTGAGATCAATTCTGGACATCTGCAAATTTTGTGATGAGACTCTTCCACCTCCTCTCGATCTCGAAGACTGGTCAATATTCCTAGATGAGGAATTAATTGCCGCCTGATCAATGCCGGAAATAGTATCCTCGTCTCGCTGGGAAGTGCGAGTTTCGATTGATTGATTGTTGAGATTTTCCTCTTTAGATAGTGAACTCACAGTATTTTCTTTCTGTTCTAGAAAAATTTGACCACTGTTGCATTGCCCCGTTGATGAACTCGAACATTGAACTTTCTTTGAACTCATTTTTTTTTCGTTCGCTTTGATGAACACATTGTTGCCCATTTGCATAAAGAGTCTAAACATTTCAATCGCTAGTTGCATAACTCCCATGTTTTCAAACAACATTTTTTTCAAATTATTTCTGGCTGTAGATCTATGTGCCAGGGGGTGCATGGTTCTTTGATAATTTTCATAATTGTTTAATACTCTCTTCAGGCATGCAATGTATCTTCCTAAAACGTTTTGGGAACCCTTCTTATATTCAATATTTGGAACGATAATCTTACATTTAGAGCGTTTATGGTGCAATCTTTGTAATGATACTAAGCAATCAGTCAACCATTCTCTACACTGCTTTAAAGATTGAAGTGCCTGATTGCTTGTCGCATACTGTGATTTGCGTTGTACGTTTATCAACAGTGCAAAAACTGTTTTTAGCAATATTATCCTTAATTTTCGAAAACCCTGCAAACGTTTTAATGTTCGATCCTTATCTATAAGCAAACGCTGATACTGAACGCGCTTAACAGGTTTAATTTTAAACATATCTTAAGGTAATTTTTTTTTTTGTGGTAATTTAAACGTTAAACAATAAATTTTTGTTTGTATAGCTGCCCTTTTGAGTTTTATTTCAAAGTACTGAGTTCTTAAGTACTGTTTAAGTCGAACAAAGCTACAGTCGACTGGCATGAAGGTAAATAACAAAAAAAAAACTATTCTAGACGAGAGCGCCATAAGAAGTTACAGGGGAAATAAAAATATATTTTAAGCAAAATGTGGAAATCATTTATTTGGAAGCCTTGGCACTTGCCCTTAAGATATCTGCTGCCTTTGCCTTGTTTTGACGCATTTGCTCTAAATCTCGTTCTCTCTGCGGTATTACCTCTTTGTGCGCTGTGGCTGTTGCTGTCGTTGCTTTCCGTCTGACGCACTTTGGACGAGCGGGACGATCTTCGTCTGTTGCATCTTCCTGCGGTTCGGGTGCCTTCTTTTTACGTGCTCGACGGGTTGGTCGATTCAATTGCTCCGTTGTTTCCGTCTCAATCTTACCAGACATTTTATCGATTGCCGTCTGAACACGTTTGCTGACCTGTGGTTGCTGCACTCGAAGCGCACTCTTCGCTGTAAAATAATTGCGTATCGAGCCTTGTATCTTCTTTTCGTTGATTTTCTTTATGACCGGCATTAGAATGTCATCTGTTTTCGAGGTGGTCCAGCCAAAGAATTTACGCGAAAATTCGCGTATAGACTCAATATCTGGAGATCCCCAACTAAACGCGTCACGGTTTTCATCCACCTTGGGTATTAAGTAGGCCTCCACTACGGACGAACTGGGAAACCCCTCATGCAACTCGATGTTCTTGAGCTTTTTGCGCAGCGAAAGACGTGCAGAACTGCCGATAGGTATATTAGCGTTCTTATGCGCCTGCCACCAATCTCGGAACCTCACTAAAGTGGACAGCACAGACTGCATGGACACAGCGCCTGGCCTGCTGGAGGATGGAGACGAGGTTGTAGGTCCAGTGTTTGGAGTTAATGTCGAAAAGGACGCGAGTATTTCAAGAGCAGTCACAGCCCCAATGCCGTGTATGCCTGGAAAACATAATTTCGTGACAACGCTTTGCCAGATGTGGCATATTCTAACTGACCTGTGGTATAATCACTGCCAACGAGACAGGCAAGCTGAATAAGCTTATCGCGGCTGCAATTAAATGTCTGCTCAATCTGTTCGGCTCGGAACTCAAGCACATGCTTATTTTGAGCAAAGAAATTTTTGTATACTGTACGACCACCGAAAAGCCAGATATCGCTATCATCCGTTATGGTACCATTAGTAATCCCCACGGCATTGAGGAAGGCGCACTGTGCTTCTGCTTCCATTGGAGCCACAATGTATGGTATGCCAAACAGGCGCAACAGCTCCTGGCAATCGTTGCTCATGCGCTGACTAATGGACATACCCATTCGATCCTGTCGATTACGTTCGGCTTCCAACTCACGGCGCTCTTGGGCCAAGCTTGTAGCCATTGTCTCTAGTTCCTCGGCTGTCTTTTGAGCTTTTAAAGCTTCCGCTGCGTCTTGTAGGATATCCTGCAAACACAAACATATTTACTGATTATAATAAACCAAGTAATTACGCATTTATATGGTGAGCAAATAGCTGACAGATCTATCTTCCATTTTGACTATCGTTCTTGAAATATAGATGTATACAGCTTTACCTTGGTGGTAGCTGGCTTTGCCATATCCTTTCCTTCATTTTCTTTAAACAGCGATTTTGCTGCTTTGCTAGATTTTGTATTCGGTGAGACGGAATTGTCTCTCAGCTCCTTTACTGCGCCCTTACGTTCCGATTTTGGTGTACGCTTTACGTAGAATGGCTTGGGTACCATTGGTGATGCGGGAGGAGTAATATGTGGTTCTACTGGCTTATCGGGAGTGCGTTTTATACTATATGTAGTCTGAAAGAAATCGGTTATTGCTTTGTTCTTGCTGGGAGTCTTATTTGGCGATGTGCGATTCTTTTCGTTATCACTGTCACAAAGCTCAATAATATCTTTGGATATGGGAGAGGTTGTTTCTTTTGCGGCCTCATCGTCGGAGGATAATTCAATGACCATGCTATTGCTTAACTTAACAGACTCCAGCTTTATATTCTTCACTTCATCCGTTTGTCGCTTAAGCTCATTAAGTATTGAGGTCAGACCAACATCCGGCAGTTCTTTTTCTTCGGAGAGATCGAATTTAGTATTTTTAATCTCTTCTGTTTGCCTTTTAAGATCAGAAAGAATAGAGCTTAGTTCGACTTCCTTTTCTGTTATTTTTGCATTAAAGTCAGTTTGTTTCTCTTTGTCGTGTATCACAACAGTTTCAACTGACTTCTGTTCTAGGATTTTCTTTTCTTCACTTTCCTTTACTTTCAAATCATTTGAATCGATGAACTTGCCAACATTTTTGCACTTAATTTTCAAATCTGTGCCACGTTCGTTATTATGCTCTGCCTGATTCGCACACATGTTACTTTTCTCAGTATCCTTTGTGTCTTCTGTATCAACTTCCTGGAGGCCACTACCGTTTACCTGGTCATCATTTTTAAAAATGTCCGAAAAGAGATCATCCTCTTGGTTCAATTGATCTTTAATGCCTACACAAATTTCGAGGACAGTTTTTGCAGGCATTTCATTTGTGTCAGTAACCTCTTCCAAGTCTGAATCAGTATCGCTATCAATGGCTTGAACTGAATCTGGTTTCTCGAGATTTTCATTTTTTCTACCTTCAACAGCCAAAGAGAGTTGTTTGACTTTTTCAATAGAATTATTTACTATATCAACTTCTGTTATCTTATCATCAGCACTTTTGTTATGCAGAAAACACTCTAAGCTCTGAGTATCATTCAATTGTGTTGATTCCATGATGTTCTCCACCTCCTCGTCGTTCATACCAGCGTATTCAATCATATACGCTCGCGCTGGTCCCTTGGCAGCATGGCGCAAGCACTTGCTTTGTTCGCGATTTAGGCGCAAGTCCTGATCCGTATTATAGTTGTAGTCCTCTTCGTCGTACACTTTTCCTGATTCATCAAGAAATAATGCTAATGCTAGTTCATAATCACCATCAGGTGCAGCGCCCGGTTCCTTATTGAGTGTATTGTTAGGTGGGGGCGACTTTTTCACGGTTATAGTTTTCTTCGATGTACTAGGACTTTCATCAGATTCCAAAGCAAACGCTGCGCTTTCTTCGGCAATTGTCTCAAAGCTTTTGTGCGCCATTCTATGACTATCCTCCATAGTCTTTTTCTTAAGATCCCGTACTAACAAGAATCTTGTGTGTTCATCGGAACTTATTTGACGCGTACTCTGCTCAATAGCTGTGGGCGTTACAATTCCTTCTTCGCTGAAAAACTCCGACAGCTCTGCATACGTCAGAGTGTGGCCGCCCATTTCTTGTTGCGCTTCCTCGAGACTTTCCTGAACGGCGCGTCGCTTTAGTAAGCGTTTCATTTGGAATGAGGAAAAGTCATTGCTTCGTGCTGGGAGCTCATGGAGGCGACCCCAGGACGACTGCTTGCGCGTTTCCTTAATGTCTGTCAGTATTTCATGCCGTATATCGGCTGGCAGGCTTTTAAAGTGCTGGCTACGTACATCGATACCTTGCAAGCTGGCATTATAAGTATGCCGTGCGGTTGACTCATCAAAGGAACTGTCCGAAGTTGTGTTTCCACCTGTGAACTCCTGATTATCTAATTCGCAGTCCGATTCGCCGATTTGAGCAGCGGATGCTTCTGGCAGTTCTGGCAACTTGAAGAGATCGTCTTCATCGTCTTTGCTGGACTTTCCCGTAACTGCCCGTTTTGATGGCGACTTTAGCAGTAGCTCTGCATTTGTACCCAATGCCTGTTGCACCACCTTCTCCTTGGCCAACGACTGCAGCAGCAGTGCCTGTATGCGATCAGCCTCGTTGCTGATTTTGCCGCGTTGTTGCTGGCGGCGCGCCTGATAATTCAAAAAAGAGAATGGATACATTTGTAAAATCAGTTGCAGATCAACAAGCAAAATAAACTGACTATTGTATCGCGCTTTAGTTGCGGCACGCCGCCATCAAATATGAACACCGGCCGCACACGGTAGTACAGTAATTTGCACAGGCGATGAAATAGGCCCAAAAGGTGCGCATTGTTCAGTGCCGATCCTTTGCTGTCTTGAAAACCTTTGACAACCTGATGAAGCCATATGGAAATATCTGTATATAAGATGTGATCATTCCATTTAAATATTTGCCGGTTATCAATTAGGCTTGCACAATTAATTAAAATATAGCTCTTACCAACGGCAAGCACTTTTCCCTCCAATGTCTCCACAGGCACTGGTTTTCCACAAGGCTCTATTAGCTTCCATAAGCCGGTGACACCCATCTCTCTCAGGATAAAATAAATTTAAAGCAAGCAACATGCAGTAGCAAACAATTGTATTTCAATAAACCATGAAAAAACTCTTACGAGTATACAAATTGCAAATAGAGCAAACAATACTTTTTGACTTGTATACAAGTAAATATTTGAAGTAGTTCACATATCTAAAAATCGTCTAATCGGCTCTATTTTGGATCAGTCTCTGTCGGCTTCCAAAATTGGTCGACTCTCGGCGGATGAAATAGAACACAAAACTTGTCTAACGATGCCTTCTTTGAGATGAACGTCAAACGATACTTTTAGGCTATCGATTAATCGTATAAGTAAAAATCGTATATCAAAGTCACCTTAAAGAATACGCTCGATTTACATCTGCATTTACACAACTGGATTCCTAGGAGTACCTAGGTGATTAAAACAAAGAAATACCGATTTAAATATGAGCTCCTTGTAAATATTTACAGGATATACATGCTAGAAACCTGAAATATTTACTGTAGTTACTTTATGTGAATAACCATAAGCTGGAATCAATGGCTATCCAATCATGCGTCTTATTAAATATTTGATCCTCATATTCTTCCAAGAGCGGTGGTTATCGTAAAAAATGTAAAAAGTGTGAAACACGTCTTAAGTGAATTTTTATATGTACAATGATGTATCAGAAACATGTATTTTGCTTACTTTTTACATTTTACTTATAAGGTAAACTATACTAGAAACATATCCCTTACAAGTATTGACACACTATTATGTATATATATATATAACACGATTAAATGCTCATTAAGAGTAGTGCGTAACCAAATGTTACTAGCGACAGTTTTAGCTCTGCTTTTTGGCTCTTATTAGTTGGCGTCTTCATTTTCGGCGGCAGTTGCCGCAGAGCTGCTACTGGCAATGGCATCTCCGGCGCTGCTATCCTTTTTGGCCTTGCTCTCCTTCTTGTCCCTTACCATCTTTCTATAGACCTCCAAGTCTTGTGTTAAGGACGGCACAAAGCTTTCAAAGTCCAGTTCGTTGAGTGTTTGCAGAATATCCTTGGCTGTAATGGTCCTGTGGTTCTGCTTGTGCGCCAATGCCGTCGAGGACGAAGTTATAAATATTGCGAAAACAGACGCTGCTTTCGCGATTGCGGCACGCGCCTCTTTGCTTACATTGGAACCCTCCGGTAAGGCTTCTTTAATTAATCGGGCAATCACAGCATTAGGTAGATTTAAGTCTTCAATCCGCTCTACCATGTTGCAGTCTTTTTATATCAATGTAACAATTGCAACTATGTTAATATTTAGTGCAAATGCGTCGTGCTCTTCTTTCCCGCGTTAAACCCAGATAATTCTAGCAGTGCTGCGTAACGAAATTCGGGTGGCCTTAGAGATGACTCTCCAAAAACAGTGCTGGATACCAAAATACCAAATATATCGATATATCGGCTAGTATCAACAATGCTAGACAAAAAACAAACATTTTGCGCGTTTATTTATTAAATTTGGTAGTTTAGTACCAACAGAAGCATAAATGTGCAAAAGACAGCATAACATCATATTTCAGCTGTTTTATTTTGGACCTAGGTGATACAAGTCCTTAGGGTGTGCCGCTACAACAATAGCGTTCACACGCACATGGAGAATTCGACGGCGACGCCGTCAAAATCAACGACAGCGCCAAAGAAACGAAGGCACAGTGAGTATCATGATCCCGATTATGGGTTCGGTTACGATAGCCCCACCAGTGCTTCCAAAGACAAGAAGCGTGTTAAGCGTGAGCAAGAAAACGAAGAGGATGGCGAGGCCCTTAACCAGCGGGCTGAGAGAATCAGCCCTCTTCGAACTGGCCTTAATCTTGACAGCGTGGCGCAACTAAAAAAATTTGAGGAAATTGTGCGTGCCGAATTCCAAAGAGAGTTAACCCTTAAGGAACAACAGCTGAGCGAGATTGATGCGCGCCTCTATCAGGCACGCCAGCTACTGGACAAATTGAGGTACCATGTCGTCAGCGAGTACTATATCAAGCAACAAGTACCGTTGACAGCTGCAGACGTGTCTAGGGTGCGATCCAGAGACACGTTGTTTGGAGATGGGGTTGAGCATGCTGGAGCTCAACTGCCGTTGCATCCGGCAGTTAAGAAAATTGTGGGTAAGCGTCCTGCGCCTTTGCAATTAAACCTGCCAGAGCGCACAGCTGCAACGCTGGCGAAGCAGACAATACGGCTGCGAAACCCTGCTAATCGCCGAGCAGAGCGTAGACGACAGCAGAAAATTCGGGAGCAGGGTATTGTTACGGATCACTCGCAGCAGGAGAACAAAAATGAACTGAATGTGACCAGCTGTGAAGAACAACCTTGCACCAGCAGACAGGCTTATAAGACTCAAAAGGAGTTTGATTCCACGTTATCCGCCCTTAATGCCTCACGCCTGAATAACAAAAACAAGTTCTTCTTTGTGGTAGGCAACACCTCTAAGTACCTAGGAGACGCTGATTCGAGCGTCCGAAACGGCCAAGCGCTAGCTTACAAATGGCTGGTTTATGTCCAGGGCAAAAACTTGCCGCAGCCACCGGAAGCGTATTTAAAAAAGGTAAGTGGAGAGCGCTCGATTGTTGTCAGCGTATAACCATAACATTTCATTTATTAGGTGCGCTTCCAATTGCATCACTCGTATCGGCCCAACGACATTGTGGACGTGCATTCTCCCCCCTTTCAGTTGACACGTCGCGGCTGGGGTGAATTCCCCATGCGAATTCAACTTTACTTTCAGGAGCATCTGCAGCAGAAGCCAGTCCAATTAATGCACACCATCGTTTTGGACAAAACTATGTGCGGTTTGCACACAATGGGGGGCGAGACAACTGTAGAGGTTTGGTTGCGTTCCGATGCGCCTGCGACAGTAGACACGATACCGCCAAGAACTGTAAAGAAAGAGCCACATACAACAGCCGGAAAAAGTGCGCCTTCGCTGATTAAGAATACTTCCACGCCGTTGACCATTTCAATAGCACAGAAAAAAGAAGATCTAAATGAAAGTTTAACTGCCTCTGTCAACAATATCGATTTAAGCGACGATTTGAAGCATATTGACCCCACTGCGCTTGTCTCAGAGTCGTTAAAGCTGAGCAGCCCGATAAAAAAACAGCCTGCAGAGCAGCTTGGGCCAAGTGAAGTGCCACTGCGCCTTGATTGCGTCAATAATTCTGCTGCTATTAGTCCATGTTTGGCCGTTGCTTATTCATCCATGAACGGGAACACCAGTAACAAAAAGCCGCAAGCGATGGTTACGCAATTGCGTAAAGGACACACAGCATCGCAATTTAAGAACGTGATCTTTCAAAAGGAGGGCAAGCTATACATTATTGACCCGCAGCAATCAAAGTTGAAGCAGGCCGCCAAGCAGCAGTCGCTCCTCAAGCCACAACTTAGTTTGCTCAAGCAGCCAACACAGCAGCTGTCCAAACGGTGGCACATTCTGCAATGCATTCAAAACGATCACGGCTATGCCAACATGAGTAGCCAGGAAGTGCCTCCCCCGCTTGCACCGCCGCTTAGCCAACGTTTGAGTCTCGAACATCTTTTTTGCGGCATTCAGTTTCAGAATATGCGTAGCGCTGTGGAGTTTTTGCTTCGGCGGCTGCCATTAGCAGGCGCATCGATCAAGGAGTTTCCCTTTGGTACTCTTTCACTGACAGCATTCATGGCACAGCCCGCTTTGCGCCAGCGGTTTTTCGAATTTATGCGAGGGCGTACTTTGTTACGCTGCATGCGCCAACATCTACGCCTGCAACACCTGCATACCAGTGGAAGGGAGTTATTTTGGAGCACACGTGAAATTGTGGCCTTTGCACGTCTACACGGATACACGCCGCCTTTAAAAGTGCTTTGTGTTGCCAGAAAAAAAGCATCCTCAGCAGTCTTGCCGTTGTCAGAGCGTGTTCAACAACAGCTGCAAGAGGATCCCCAATCACAACTGTTGGAATATTGCAGTCTCACCTCAAGGTCCCGTTTAGATAGTTGGCTAACTAAAAAGATAATAAGCTTGCAAAGTCGGACACATAGATTGGACGATGAAGTGTTTGTTGATGTGCAAAACTTACCTCCACCTCCACCCAGTTCACGGATTCAGGGGCCCCCAAATTTAACAGACAATCCATTAAACCATCATATGCTATATTTACCTCCACCTGAGGAGCTGGATGCTGCCACTCAGCTTGTGCGGGACATGTGCAAAGAGGTAGGCATAGTCCTACATACAGAACAGAGCGTCCCAGGTGTTTCGCAGTCCCTAGCGATCACACTTTTAGCACACGTTCTTCGAATGTTTATAGAAAAGTTGGTGAGACGCGCCGTCTCAACCAAATTGCGTCAACAGCAACAACCGCATGCAATAGAGACGTTGCCTACTGCGGCAGCCAATATAGAACTAAACCTACTACCCCACGACATCGCACGCGTTATTGCCAATAGTGCGGAGCTTGATTTCCTAGGCAATTCTTACCTCGGCGTTGATCACAAGGAATCGTAGTCTGCTCAATATATGTTCTCGTTTACCATTCGTCTAGTTCTAAACCCTGTGGGATATTATAGATAAATAGGTTATCTCTAAGTAAACGTATGTTATGTATTTAATAAATTAATTTTACGTTTTTTACAGCTCTGTTTTTGCTTTTAATAATGACAAAAAATCGGTTTTCTTCGCATAACCTTATGTACACGTTGTCCGTATACCGCAACATTGGGATATTCCTGATAGGCTTGCAAATAGTTTAAGCGTTTTCGATGGGTTACCCGATAATTTGTCCAAAAAGTACACTTCGCAATGGCACAGCCGTTTAAAAGTTGTCTTAAGCGAAAAATGTAAAACAGGTCTCAAACGATTTTTCTTTTGGATTCTTAGAAATTAATTTAAGCGCGAAACGTCACCCACCAGATCTTCGACATTCATTTCCAGCAAGAAGAAATAGATTCTGCAAAAAGTGCGAAACACCCCTCAAATGAATTTGAGCAGATTTTTGAAAAGGAGTTTGACGCCGATCCGATGGTTAACAAAAAGTTGCTTATTAACCACTTTAGTGGGTGGAATTTTCCAAATCGCTGAAACATGTATTCATTTACGTCTTAACTTGAGCTCTGAAAATAAGTTTAAAGCAAATCGGACACCACTTAAAACTGTCCTCAAAAACTCTGAATCGCATTTCGAAGAAGTTTGCAATCAGCGATAAGTAAGAAACACGTCTCAAATGATTTTCCATATAGAGCCTTCAAAATGAATTTTAGCGCGAAACGTCATTCACCAAATCCTTTTCCATCAAGGAGGAATCGATTTTTCCACACTTGCGGGTGGAATTTTCCGAAACTCCATCTTAACGAAACTTAAACTGTTGTCATAAAAACTTAATTTACGAAACAGATACCGATATGCAGGTGAGGTTTTTTTTTTGGGCTTTATACATTGAGTCACAACATTGTTACACGCTTTGCTATTATATACAAAAAAGGTCAACTAACGAAATTAATAGTTGGTTTGGTATTTTTTTTAGTAAATATACATTTATTTTTTAAAAGTTTTGTTTTTATTCTATTTTGCTTTTCAACAATGTATATATTCAGCTAAATTTTTTTTCTTTTTAACACAATGTTATTGTAGTTTTAATTGTTGTTATACGATTCTCTATCAAAACGATATACATATAATTAAGGTAAAATGTTTAGAACAGCTATACGATTATATTAACTAAATTGATTTTTTTTGAAAGGAAAGTATAAAAGATTGATTCGATTATGCAACAAAGTAAAAACAATTTGTTTTCGTAATACTTGAAATAATGAAACTAAATAATGTAAATTGGTGTCTCTTATGTATAAATATATTTCTCATGAGTGTAGAATCACAGCCTTTTCTCGAACATCGAACATTGAAGTTCGGTAATGTTTGAATTGTCCAGTATTAAAAGATTTCGTCTCTCTTTTGTGGTATATAGTACATAAATATGCGTAAAAGACGCTTAATTAATCCATATGCATTGCATGCAAACATATAAATCAACGTGGTATTATTTTAATCAGTTATGTTTAATAAGAGTTGCGTTGTTACTTTTAGAATTACGCCATGTAACGTGGCTATGTGCACTAAATATATACGTAAATTAAATCTCTACTTATATACAAATAAATATTCATGAACGACTACATGCATATTACTTTAGTGGTACATTGATCCGATTCAATTTGAAGCCAAAACTCGAACTAAAATGTTTTCATCTTTATGGTCTAGTTTAGTCGGCAATCATGCTATTTAAATTTCTACTAAATATAGCTATAATCATTGAGTTTCATAAACGAAAGTGTTGAAGTTTGTCAATGAAACTGTCTATTTTAAGTTATACTAATCGGTGTCGAAAGGCCACATATTTAAACTTAAAGTACATGGGTAACGGTTGGTTTGTAGTGAGTGACGTTTCTGACACTTTTGCTGGTTAACGCTGGATCAGGTAATCGAGGTTATAATCTGATTCTTAGACCCATAATCGGCGATTCTGCAAGAGATTGAACGTAAGAAGTCGATCGATCCATTCAGCAACAGAATTAGTCAAATACAATGTATAAATAAAAGGACACAAAATAATAAAAATTAAAACGTTAAGAAAAATGCCTTTACATATTGGACATGCATAGCTAAAATAATAACTTTTAATGTTGAAATCATAATAATGGAACTTATAATTGTAATTTATTTTATTTGCGCTTTATTTTGTGCCTTTTACCTATAAATTGATGAGGCTGACGTCGAGCGCGACCATGTAACTAACAAACTCTCACCTCTACCGTGCTCGCGTTTGCTCTGAAGAATGACCTTGGTGCTGTCGTCGGGGCACATAGAGGTACGTACAGTGGTAAGGACCAAGCTAGAGTAAAGTCAACGGAAATTGCATTAATTAGCAGAGCTACAAAAGATGTAATTATAGCGTCAATTTACCGAGGAAGCACAGCAACAACAGTGGAAAGTAGAATAACCAACCAGTGTACTGCGGATGCAAAACATCTAAAGATAACCCAATAAGTAGAGGGCAGTCCAAAGCAGTTCACACACATAGAATTGTATACGATGGAGAATAGATAAAAGGAGCCCAGACTTATCAGTATTGATATGACATGGAGCAGCGTCTGGACAGAAAAGAGAGTCTATATGGATAACACTTGTGAGCAAGTACATTGATAGAACATACCCAAGAACGTATTTCAATGCAACAGTGCACTAGATTTGCAAACAGGCAGCTCGCCGTTATAGTTGTACCAAATTCCCAGATTCCGACATCACTTTCCGAATAGGCGCATAGGGCAACAAAAAATATGACAAGAGATTGATATAGTGCATCTAAAAGAACCAGCCAGAAGTCGTGTGGCCTGTATACGAGTCCCAAGCGACCCTAAAAAAGAAACATAACATATAATATAATACATTTATATATAAACACTAATTCTGTTATAAGTATTCCATTGACTTTTCCCGATGAGCTTACATTTTTGTAAAGATATGGATTTTTCAATAGCAAGTCTTCTGGCACTCGGTTGTCATAGACACCAATCGCAAGGGGAGGCAGTGAGGTGAATAATAAGTTATAAAGCATTAGATACATTTGGTCCATCATTACAGATCCGGAAAAGCCGCAGTATAATTGATACCAGAATATCAGGAAAACAAAAGCCTGCAAAACCAAGTACAGAATTAATACAATATGAGCATATAAATTCTGAATGCTTTACCCACCGCATTCTTATAAAAAAAGTAGAGAATCATTCGTGCCAGGCGATCATAGCACCAGTAACCATGTGCGAGAAGCAGCCGCTCCAAGTAACGGAAGCGTGAGAGCGTAAAATCAGATGCCATGACCGCTTGCATGCCTTCCTGGCCAGATATACCAACGCCCACATCGGCCATTTGTATCATTGATACATCATTGGCCCCATCTCCAATAGCAAGCGTACGTAGATTGAGCTCCTCCTTGACTACTTTGACCAAATACGCCTTTTGCAGTGGAGTTGAACGACAGCAGAGTACCGAAGCGCATCCCTTGGCCAACTTGAGAAAAGGCAGAATCAACTTCGATCTAAAATAGAAACAGTTTAGGTCAGAGCTAGATTTGGCTGTGTGCAGTAACCTACTTGGGATCTAATATGAACGTTAGTGTCTTTCCATCTACGACCAGGGCTCGAGGTTTGCAGCGCGGCGCTAAGATGTAGCCTGTGGAGTTTGACGCCTTTGCATTTCTCATTTCGGTCAAATAGAAATTAATTGCTGTCTCAGCAGCATCTCGAGAGCGAGCGGTTAGCCTGCAACAATAATCGGATAACGGTCAAGACAATGAGCTGAATAGAGATCTTCATTCACTCACTTGATCAGCTCCATTTGCTGTGTGAAAAGTTTTGCAGAGTAAGCAATGTTGATTGCGGTCTCTGGCTTGTCACCTGTCAGTACCCACACAGAAATTCCCGCCGAGAGTAGCGAAGCTATCGTTTCGGGCACACCATCCTGTAAGCGATCCTCAATGCCAGTGGCTCCCAAAAGCGTCAGATTGCTCTCCAGTTTGGCAAATGATTCGCGTAGTCGTCTTTCTCGATTCTCCAACGACATTTCAATCTCCTGATGGCGCGCCCACCAGTCCGTATAGTCTGCAGCATTAAGGCTCCGCTTCGCCATCACCAGAATTCGAAGACCCTCCCGAGCATAGCGATCCAGCTGCTGCTGCGTCTGCTCACGAAGCAACCCTTAAATTTAGATCGAGAGCTTTAAAATAAATGCGCTTCAAAAATCAAAGTTGCTTTTACCTTCGGGACTGTTATTGCCACAAGGTGCCAGCACGGGCATGATAGAGCTATCGGCACCCTTTGTGTAAAGGACAATCTCCTGGGTGCCTGTTTGCCGGACAACTATTGACATGCATTTGCGGCTTGAATCGAAGGGCAGTATTTTAAGTATCTCATACTCAACGGTGGCGCCAGCCGTTGGCATGCTCACAAGGATGTGATTCGGACTACGATTCAGCAGACAACAGTCGTAGCTATATGCTGCATTGACTAGCGCTAACTCGTCTGGACTCTCGGCCTCGTACAGAGGGCGCCCATCGGCGGTTCGGTAGATTGTTTGCGTCTTAGTTTGGCTGTAAATTGAGTCAGAGTTCAATTGATTAAACCCAACAATAATTAGCGGCCAGTCAGCACTCACTTTATCTTCAGGCGTTTTCCTTGCGTCTTGGCATTTAAGAATGTGGCTATGCTGGTGATTTTGGAGTTGATTACAGCCTTGGCGCGACCAGTTGGTGAAATACTGTTGGACAGTGCCTTACTTTTCATTGGCGGCGATGGCGACTCCGAATTGGGCGTCGACTCTGGCGAGCTGCTAATCGGCGAAAGCGTGGGCTGATGGCTTTGAGCAGGCATGGCAAACAGCAGATTAGGAGGTGGCGATGGAGTCACAGAGCGCGACTCGGCCAGCCGTGTATAACGATCTGTTGGCAATGCCATAGTTCCGGCCTGCGGC